AGCCCTGCCAGGCCTCCCTGAGATCCATGTAGAGGGGAGATGTCGCTGAGCAGGAAGCTGAGGGATGGGAGAACGTTGCTAGTGCCCATCCTCCGGGCAGGTCGCTAGGCTCAGAGCTGCTCCTGCATGCTGCTGTGCACTGTGCCAAGTACGGCAGCTCAGTCTTCCAAGGCAGCTGCTGCCTGCTGCTCCCTGCCACCTCCCTAGCACATCACAGCCACGTCCTCTCTCTCCCCCCGGCCAGATTCACCGCACCGCCTGGCACCACGTGATTCCAACCGCCTCTCGCACCGGGGCACGCTTCTCCCGTCAACACGGAGATCCCGCTTGCATCCCGCTCACGGGATAAGCTGTCAGGAGCAGTATCCCCGATGCTGCAACTGCACACCTGGCGACTGAGCCTTGTGACTTTGTCCTCCCCACAACCATTTCCCATTTGGGGACTATTATACCTTCAAGTCAGCGGCCCTGCTACGGGCATCCGCATGCCCCACAATATGCCAACACTTTTGTGGCTGACCTAGAGCCATGTTTCCTCACCCCCCATCGTCTAGCACCACTGCTCTACTTACTCCGCATTGCAGACATCTTCGTCATATGGACCCGCAGGAAGGAGGCCCTTAAAGAATTCCACCAGGATTTCAACAATTTCCACTCCACTGTCCAACTCAGCCTGGACCAGTCCACACAAGAGAGCTACTTGCTGGGCACAACAGTACAAATAAATGATGGTCACATACACACCACCCTGTGCCGGAAACCTACTGACCACAGTTCTGACCTACATGCCTCTAGCTTCCACCCAGTACACCTCACACGCTCCATTGTGTGCAGCCAAGCCCTAAGATACAGCCGGATCCGCTCCAATCCCACAGGTAGAGACAAACGCCTACAGGATCTTTATCGGGCATTCCTAAAATGTAAACACCCACCTGAAGAAGTGAAGAAACAAATTGACAGAGCCAGATGAGTACCCAGAAGCCACCTGCTTCGGACAGGCCCAACCAGGTAAATAACAGAAGACCATTCGTCCTCACCTAGAGCCCCCAGCTAAAACCCCTCCCGCACATCCTTGACAATCTACAACCTATCCTGGAAAACCACCCCTCCCTCTCACAGACCTCGCTTACAGACAGACCCCCAACCCGAAGCAAAAACACCCCAGCAGCCCCACAACACGCCACAGAAACACTCACCCAGGAACCTATCCCTGCAACAAACCCTGTTGCCAACTCTGTCCACACACCTATACAAGCGGCACCATCACAGGACCTAACCACATGAGGGGACCATCCTGATGTGATCTATGCCATCACATGCCAGCAATGCCCCTCTGCTGCGTCTATGGGCCAAACCGGACAGTCGCTGAGACAAAGGACCCAAATCAAACATCCGGGATGGTAACACCCAGAAACCTGTAGGAGAACACTTCCACCACCCTGGACATTCAGTGACAGGTTGGAAAGTAGCCATCCTTCTGCACCAGAATTTCAAACGCTGGTAACAAAGTGAAGCAGCTGAACTGGAATTCATTTGCAAATTCAATTCTATCAAAGAAGGATCTCCCCAGGTTAATGCAGCACAAAGGCAATTTCCCCTCTCTTGACATTCACATCTCCACATCAAGTGCTGTGAATGAGCCACTTCCCGTCTGGCTTCATTAGCTTCATTAACATAAGCAACTTCTAATGTCCTTAAACACACTCCTGCTTCTGTACCTTCCACTCCAGTTCATCCAATGAGGTGGATTTTACCCACAAAAGCTTGTGCCCTAATAAATCTGTTTGTCTCTAATGTGCCACAGAACTCCTCGTGTTTTTGCAGGTGTTTTGCTCCGAGACTTGTTCTTTCGGTTAGCTGCCTCAACCACCAGTGAGCTGGATGTGAAAAAAAAACCCAACAACTAAGTATCCTGGCAGGGGACAAAATATTTACTATCTGTCCTGGGGAGTGTGGCTGTTGTGGAGGCCGGCATGTGCCACACGCACTGGGCAGGTCGCATAGTGGCTGTATGGCCTGAACGCACTATTTTAGAGGTGCTAGTGGCTTGCACTATGTCGGTGAGCAAAGGCTGAGTGTCCGACACTTCCTTCAGCGTTCTACCAAGCTCATCTGCCGCTCTTTTAAACAGCCCCTGGAAATGAGTGAGTGCCTCAGTAGATGTAGACATTAGGGCTGTGTCTAGACTGGCCAGTTTTTCCGGAAAATCAGCCACTTTTCCAGAAAAACTTGCCAGCTGTCTACACTGGCCGCTTGAATTTCCGCAAAAGCACTGACTTCCTACTGTAAGAAATCAGTGCTTCTTGCGGAAATACTATTCTGCTCCCGTTCGGGCAAAAGTCCCTTTTGCACAAAGCTTTTGCTCAGCTGCGATTTGTTTTCCGCAAAATAGCCCCGATCGCAAAAATGACGATCGGGGCTTTTTTGCGGAAAAGCGCCCATGCTAATCTAGACGCTCTGTTCCAAAAATGCTTTTAACGGAAAACTTTTCCATCAAAAGCATTTCCGGAAAATCATGCCAGTCTAGATGCAGCCTCGATGTAGATGTGGCTGGCAATTTGGCTTCCTGGGATGAAGGGGATGCCCGAGCGGCCCTGGTTGAGATGCCCCCTGCGATTCCTGTTTCTGTCTGAAGCGTGGGGCGGCGGAGAGGCCCACCTCCACTTGGGGGGGAGGTCGGCCGGGGAGGTTTGTGGACGTGGCTCCTCGGAGGAAGCGGGTTGTGCCCACGAAAGCTCACGATACTGTTTATATTTTTTGTTAGTCTCTAAGGTGCCCCTGGGCCCCTCCTTGTTTTTACTAGACTCTTCCCTGAGAAACAGAGGAAGCCGTTCTTTTCTTGGAAGTCTTCCCGTGTGTTTTTGCTGGGGGTTTGTCAGGGGTCGGCTGCTGGTGTGAGGGAGGCACAGCTTTCCAATTCGGTGCTTTTAGCTTCAGACCGGAGAAGCATTTCTGAGGGACATGCGACTCCCCCTAGCAGCGGACACATTCGGAGTGGCCATCTAGTACAGCGCTGGCCTCTTGAATCCTGGCGGGCCCAGCACACACAGCATGTTTTGTCAGAAAAACTAACTAACCCTCAACTATTAGCGAGTGAACTGTGTCCAAATGAGGAGAGGGTTGGGGAAGAAAGGTGGGTAGTGGGAGCGCTGCACTCCATCTCTAGCCGGGGACGGCAGTGAAGGAACCGAGGAGCCTGGGCCGTGCACGTGCTGTTTTAACCAGTGACAGCTCGCGAGGCAGGCAGAGCATGTGCGCAGCCCGGCGCGGTGCTGCTGTCAAAATTTCCAGTCAAAGCTGCTAGGACACAGTTTGGCCTGAGTGGAGCACCCACAGGGACATCTCTAGGGGTATGTCTACGCTAGCCCCCTAGTTCGAAATGGAGGCATTCGAAGTTGCAAATCAAGCCCGGGATTTAAATATCCCGCGCTTGATTTGCATCTTCCTGGCCGGTCGCCATTTTTGAAATTTACAAGTCCAGACTAACTGCCCATGTCTACACGCGGCAGGGACCCGGTAGTTCGAAATAAAGCCCTAAATCGAACTACCTGTTAAACCTCATTCCAGGAGGAATAACAGGTATTTCAAACTAGGGCTTTATTTCGAACTAACGGGTCCCTGCCATGTGTAGATGCCGACAGTTAGTCTGGACTTGTAAATTAAAAAAAAAAAAAAAAAATGGCGACCGGCCGGGAAGATGCAAATCAAGCACGGGATATTTAAATCCCGGGCTTCATTTGCAACTTTGAATGCCTCCATTAGCCTCCCTAGTTCGAACTAGGGGGCTAGTGTAGACATACCCTTGGAGAGCCAGCGGCTAGGGCCCTCACACAGTGGAAGCGGGAGACTGGGATTCATGTCCCTTCTCCAGAGCAGGGATGAACACAGGTCTCCATACACCATGTGAATGCTCTAACTACTGGGCTGAAGACTAGGAGCAGAGGGGCCAAGGTATCTCTTCCTTCGGGGGAGGCTGGTGTGGAAAACTAGCCCCCAACATTGAAATGAGATGTTTTGTTAATGTCAAAACGGTTCATTTCAGCATTTCCAACCTGAAATTATTGTGTTACCGCGTTTCATTACAATTATCATTTTCTTTCCAACCAAAGCAATTCCCCCAAGCGGACACACATTTGTAAAATGTTTCAGTTGACCCCAATCTACAATTTTTGGCACTCAAAGATTTTGACCAAAACCTTCCTCCTAGCTCTTGTCACTATGGTAATTAGACAGGAAAAGGAGGGTGGTTTGCAGGACAATGTCTTTCAAGCAAAATTATCTAGAACAAGCTACACTTGGTCCCACGCTTTCACGTCAGGCAAAGATAGGTCACTAGAGCCCAGCAAAGCTTAGACAAACTTCTACTTCAGTTTCAAGTTTCAAACACTTGAGGCTTGCAGCCCCAGCATTTTTGACCCAAATGAAGCTAAAGCAAAACTCAGCTGCAACCCCCCAATTTGCTGTTCAGCCCTCAGAGGTACCCAGCCTGGCTGAAACATGTCGTCAGCCTGGTCAGTTTGTCAGGGCTTTGCATCTCTCTCAATAACACAGCAGGCACACAAAGCACAGCAAGAGAGGAGAAGGCACAATTCCCCCTTTCGGACACACACACCTGCCCAAATCCAAAGCCTGGTGAAATCAAGGTACGGTTTTCCTTGAAGCTTGTTTTGGTTTCTCCCGGTTTTGGGAGCTTCTACTGTGCACAGACATTCCCAACCCTATCCCAATGATCGGGCCCTGAGCCAAGAATCAGAGACAGAAGCCTCTTGCTTTTAGGCTAGCAACTGGCATGCGTTTGCCACGTATGGCTTTCTCTCTGTCCTGCGCCATCCAAGTGGGTGCAAGAAGAGACTTGCAGCAGTTGCAAAGTTAGTCGACCCCAAAATGAACTGGCTCAGTTCCCCTGGAATGGAGTCAGTTACCTTTCCAACCCAACATGGCGGAGACAGAGGGATGTGTTTAAAAAGCACGAGCATGTTAGGCACAACTGAAATTCTCACCTTCAACGTCTTGCTTCTGCCTTCATGAAGCAGCAGCTCCTCCGACAAAAGGAGAGTCCGGGCTGGGTTGCAAAGGTCCAGAGGCTAAATATTTAAAGAAAACATAAAGAAAAAATCCAGAATGTCAACTCGCAAGGTGAAAGTTTGCCATGATGCCTGACTTCACTCTCCACCCCCTGAACCTCTTTGTCTTTAGTCTGAGGCGTAAGCCAGTGAAAGTGAAGCTGCCATGAGCCAGCCTAGGCGAGCGCATCTCTCGAAGATGGAAACTCTGCAGTCCAGCAAAGTGATCAAAGGGGAAAAGAGCCCTCACATTTAACACCTACGTCACAGGGAGCTATAAAAAGATTAGCAGCAGCTTCTGCTTGTGTGTGTACATTACTTCTTCTGCAAAGCGTGGGCCTGCCCATGCGGCTCGGAGAGCAGGAAGCACAACCACCGCAGTAGCCCACTCCGCGCTCGCCTCGCTACGACACAGCGACATCTTTGTAACTGACGCGCTTCACTGGGAAGATGAAGAGACTCTGGGCAGGGTGCCTGCTCTCCTGCGCCGGGCTGCACTTTGGGCTAATGAGCTCACTTGCAGGGGCAACCGGCTTTGACACCGGATAAACCAAGAACTCAAACAAAAAAAAAAGTCAGTTCTGATTCCTGCACAAAGTGGACAAACCCAGCCTCCGAGGCCGTGTCCCGTGGAGAACCGGTCCAAGCAGCCCTGTGACGGTGCGTTGGGGTTTTCCCGTCTCCTGCACCCCCGAAAGGGCACGAACAGACTCCCCCAGCCAGTAGAACAGAGGTGGTTTATTGCTTCTCCAGGATACAGCTCAGCACAGATGTCACCAGGTTACAGGACAGGCCTAGGATGCCTCAGCCCCCCTTGACTAACTCTCTTCCAGCCCTGCCCCCCAGCCGGGGCCGGCTTTCCGCCTTCCTTTGTTTCTCTCCCTGGGGGGTAGCTGGTCAGACAGGTTGAGAGACCCTCTTTGTATAATGACTCATCCTCTGCCCTGCTGGGCCGTGCTGCAGCCAGTGGAGGTCACTCACAACCCACTGCCCAACACAGCAACCAGCAAGATACCCCCCACTACGTCACAGGCCCACAGCAGCCTTGAGTGGGACACTGTCTGCACAGCCTGCACGGTGGGCTACTGCAGAGCAGGGAGGCAAAGTCTGAGCTCCCTGAGAGACGCGGCCATGGGTGAAGGTTTCAGAGGGAGCTGGGCGCATCGGTTTCAGCAAAATAACAAAGAGTCCGGTGGCACCTTACAGGCTAACAACTGCGTTTTCCTAGTACCAGTGTGTGGCGGGGTAGCCCCGCCCCTCCCGGAAACCGCCGGGACGCCGCAACCACGGGGGAAGGACTCACCCCCCGGAGGGGAGCGGATCACCGCCCGCCGTCCCCGAACGGGGGGGCCGGCACACCGGGCGGGTGACGAGCCGGGGCCGGCCGGCAGCGCAGAAAGGGGGCGGAGCCGAGCAGGCATGGCGGAGACGTCATGGGGAGCCCCGGCCGGGCACCGAGCCGGGGCCGGCAGGCAGTGCAGAGAGGGGGCGGAGCCGGGCAGGCATGGCGGAGACGTCATGGGGAGGACGGCCCTGGGAGGGGCCGGAGTCCGACGAGGGGGGTGACGTCATCTGCCTGCGTCCGGCGGGCAGCTTAAAAGGTCGCAGTGGATCAGCCATAGGGGGGAACGCCGAGGAGACGCATCCCCCCCGTGAGCCGGCGAGTGGTCGGCAGTATTGGAGACCCTGGGCAGGGTCAGAGGAAGGGCCCAGGTGAGCCTATGGGACCTGGGGGAAGAAGCAGCCCAGGGCGGGGACGCGGACCCTGAGGGCAGGGGAGTTTAGGGGTCTCGACCCCCCCTGCTAGGTGGGGGAGCCTTTTCCCCGACCTTAGGGCCCTGGGCTGGGGTCCGGAGAGAGGGCGGGCCCGGACCCCCTTCCCCCAACTGCCTAACCAAACCAATCGGAATCGGGCGCGTCAAGGCGTCGATAATCAGAGAACCGAGGGGGGCGGACGTAAGCCCCTCCGCACAGGGGGAGAACCCCCTACACAGTGTTACTCTGCAAGGTGTCACCAGACTCCGTGTTGTCACTGTCACTAGTGCCAGTCTGTAAGCGGGACTTGGCAGACTGAAGCCAAGAGTCACAGCCTTGGAAAGACAATAAACCAGTAACAAAGCCCCACATGTGTTTTTACTTAAAGACAAGCCCCGAATGCAATCATTGCTGGGTCGGGGGGGGGTCAGTTACCACATGCAATATACAAAGAGGTGAAAGGACGCGGTGGCGCCTGGGCACGCAGCTCGAGCAAGAGCTGGCTGAGCTGTGGCAAAAGCCGGCAGGGAGCTACTGAAAGAGCTAGCAGGGCCCTGGGGTGCACTAGGACAGGCCCGGTCACACATGTTCCGTTTACATGTGGAGCACTTGCGCCGTGAAAGTCAGGGAACGTGTTTGGAAAACTAGATTATGAAACTGAGCACGATGTGTGCACAAGTGCTATGCAAGAAGCTGCACGCACGTCCTAACCCTATGTTCAGAGCACATACCCAGGCAGGGCTGAAGACCACGTGTGCCCCAGACAGAGGAATGCTGGTTCACCTGCCTGCCAAGGTCTCTGACGTAACTCAAGCACCACAAACACCCAAACAAAACAGCCGCTGCACGGGTGTGCAAGGCAACAGGAAAAACCAGTTTCAACTGAACACAACGTGGCACCCGCCGTCTGGAGAACAAACATGTGGGAGATTGACGGGGCTATAAGAAGTAGAGGAAAAGACGTGTTGTTATGTGTCAGCGAGGGAACAACGGAGGCGGGCCTTTTGTAGCCATGGGATACAGTGGATCTCCAGCCACGTGGCTCGGTGACCCCGAGGAGGTGAGAAACCGTCTTGGACCCTGTTACTGTTTAGCCACTAGAATGCAGGTTCTACTTTTGTTTTATTTGTAACCATTTCTGTTATCTCAGCCTAGGATCGCTTCAATCTCTGCTCCTTTGGAGCACGTTTACTCTTGGTTTTACTCAGTGCAGCACACTGATCCGCGAGGCTGGCGTGCATGCTGCTCTTTGAAGACAGCAGACGTGATAACTGCTGGGAGTGTCCAGAGCTGGGTACTGGGAACTGCACCCCCCTTTAAGGAAGGTTTGGGGATGGGAATGCACCTGAGGGTCAGCTGAAAGGTAAAGTAGAGGCTGGCCGAGCTTGTATGGCATTGTCCGGGGACAAACAGAGTGTAGGGTCAGGGGGACAATGCAGTTTTGTTCCAGCAAGTCCCTCTCTTTCTGCAGCATTGGGGTCACGTGATGATTTACAGACCTGAACTTCCTGAGACTGCATCACCACAGATTCCCTTGGGGGCCAAATCCAGGCCTTTTCCGTGATGGAATGCTGGCACATGCAACACCACCTGGGCACGAGCGGGTGGCGGAAGCCTTAAAACCAGCTCTTCCCATCGAATTCAGAGCTAACCCACAAGAGCAGCGTTTGTGGAAGTGGGAAGTCAGAGCCCCTCCACCCAGCCAGCCGTCTCTGGACATGGATATGAAATTCCTGGTCACGTTCCCAGCAGCAGAAGTGCCCCCTGTGGCCACGAGCAGGCGCCAGGCTCAGAGCGCTCAGCAGCCACCGCCCAGGGGGGAACGGCTCTTTGATAGTGTCAGTTGCAGAAGCTAGAGCAGGAAGAGCCAACTGGAGCAGCAAGTCTGCCCCCTTCCCAGGGCGGGGCAGAGTCCCCGAGAGACGCACAAAGGGGGGCTCTGAGGCACAAAGGGGAATGGAGACCTTAAAGGGAAAGTATTTCCCACGGGGCGGGAGGCACAGAGGTGAGGCATGTTCTCTGGTGCACGGAGGAGGCTCCACTGCAGCCGGAGGGGGCACTGGCAGGGGGACCCCGTGACACACAGGCTGCCGTGCGGCTCACCAGGCCGGTACACGTGGACACGCGCCATGTTTGAATGTAGTTAACTTACGTTTTCTTTTTAAAAATAAATCTGAGTCAAGGGAAATCGGAACTGAACACAAACCGTATTAAAGGCCGGACGGTAACTATGACTTAGTTAAAAACCAACAAATGGTCTGGTCGCACTTCATAGACTAAGGAAACATGTAGATGGCATCATGAGCTTTCGTGGGCACAGCCCACTTCTTCAGATGGCCGGCGGTAAAGCTCACAATACCATCTACATGTTTCACTAGACTATAAAGTGCGACCAGACCATTCGTTGTTTTTTTCTGTAACAGACTAACTTGGCTACCCCCAGAAGCTCCTATGACTTAGTTATCAGTCATAGTTAGTTATCAGTGGCTGTGTTCGTTTGTAACTTTAAAAACAACGCGCAGTCCTGTGACACCATAGAGACTACACATATATCTAGGGTCAGTTTTCGTGGGCAAAACCCACTTCCTCCGATTTTGCCCACAAAAGCCCATGATATTAGTTATCGATGTGAAACGGATTTTGATAGGAGAAGTTTAGGTGTCCACTACAGTTAAAGTTGTTTTGTTTAATCCACGTAAATGTTACATGCAGTTTTCTGTGTTTAATGAAATCCCTAACGCTGGGTGGCACAAAGTTAATTCTCTCATTAACTAGCCAATTAGCCCGTCATAAGATGGGATTTTCTGGTCTCTCCTCCACGTCAGTCTTCTCTCCTGAGCCTCTGGTCTCTTGCTCAGTCTCTCTGGGTATGTCTACACTACCCCGCTAGTTCGAACTAGCGGGGTAATGTATGCATACCGCACTTGCTAATGAAGCCCGGGATTTGAATTTCCCGGGCTTCATTAGCATAAGCGGGGAGC